GCTTTGCCTGCTTTAAATCGTTTCTTTTTCTTGTTCTTCAATTTTTTTTTTTTTTCGTTTTTTTCCTTCTTTGTTTTTCTGTGGTTTTTATTCTTCGGTGTTTTCGGCGTACCTCGTTCCCCCGTTTTTCTTCTCTCTGGCCTGGGTGGTTTCTTGTTTTCCTCATAGTGTTAACATCCGTTTCTTTTGTTTTGTTTTTTTCTCTCGTTTTTTTTTTCTTCGTTTTTTGGGTCTCTCACTCCCTCTCTCTCTCTTTTTCTTTTTTTTCTCTTTTTTCCTCTCTCAATCTCCTCTCTATCTTTCTCCGGCTTTTTTTTTTTTTTTTTTTCCTTCATTTTCTCTCCTCTCCTCGTCTCCATCTCTTCTTTTTTCCTTTTTTTCCCCTCTCTCCAATCTCTCTCTCTCTCTCTTCGTCTTCCCTGCTCTCCCTCTCCTCTCCTCTCTCTCTCTCTCTCTCTCTCTCATCTCTCTCTCTCTCTCTCTCTCTCCTCTCTCTCTCTCTCTCTCTCTCTCTCTCTCTTCTCTCTCTCTCTCTTTTCTCTCTCTTTCTCCCTTTTACCCCTGTCCTCTCTCTACCGTGCTTTCTATTTCTCTCGTCTTTCCTATCCGGTTTCTCTTCTCCTCTCTCATTCCCACTTTTTTCTTCCCTGAATCTCTCTATATACGCGTTCTCTTCCTCTCCCTTTTCCTCCCCTTTCCTTCTCTCATTTATTTTCTTATTTCCTCTACTTCTTTCTGTCTCTCCGTTCCCCCTTTCCTCTCTCCCTCCCTTCTTCCTTTCCTTCTCTTCCTACTTTTCTCCCCCTGATTCCTCCACCCTTCATTTCCCTCATTCTTCCTCCCTTCTCCCTTTCTTCTCCATTCTTCCTTTATCCCTTCCATTCTCCTCCTTCTTATCCTCATCCCTTCCCTCATTCATCCCTATTCTCTTTCCCTTCCCTCTAATTTCCTTCTCCTCCGTTCTCTCATTCCTCCTCCCTTCCTTCATTCTCCTCCTTTCCTATCATCCTATTCCTTTCTTTTACTCCTCCTCCCTTCCCTCATTCCTCTTCCCTTCCCTTATTCCTCCTTCCTTCCTCTCCCTTCCCTCATACCTATTCGCTTCCCTCTCCCTTCCCTCCCCTCATTCCTCCCTCCTTCCCTCATCTAATTCATTCCTCCTCCCTCCTCCCCCCCTTACTCCTCCCTTCCCTCCCTTGCCCTCCCCCTCCCTCCTCCCCCACTATTCAGACGGTGCATGCATCCCCGCAGTACGTGAGGAAGGTAAGCGCGCGCACAGCTCACACGAAACCTGTTTGCGAACTGCATACCAGCGCGGCCTTGCATGTTTCTCTGCTTTCCTCCTTTCCCCTCTCTCTCTCCTTCCTCCTCTTCTTTCTATCTTCTTTCCTCTCCTTTCCTCTCTCTTTCTTCCCTTTCTCCTCTTCTTTCTTCTCCTCTTATCTCTTTCTCCATTCTTCTCTTATATTCATTTCTTCTCCTTCTCTTCCTCTTCTTACATCCTCCTTTCCTCTTCTTCTCCTGCCTCTCTCTACTCTCCTTTTCTCTCTCCTCTTCTACTCCCTTTTTCTTCACTTCTCCTCTTCCTCTACCTTTCCTTTCCTCTTCCCTCCTTCTCCTCTTCTTCCTTCCTCCACCATCCTTTCTCTCCTCTCTCCTCCTCCCTCCTTCATACATCTGCCTTATCTACACCCTTTCTACTTTACTCCGTTTCTACTACTCGTTTCTTCAATTTCTTAAATCTTAAATATATATAATTATAATATATAACTTTCTTTCATAAATGAATAAATAAATAAATAAATAAATATAATATATATATTTTTTCTTTCTTCTATATCCCATTTTTATTTTTTTTTCTTTCATCTACATTAACTTCATCTGTCGTCTCTCCCTCTCTATCTATCTATCTACCTATCTATTGCCATTTCTTATCTTGTGCTGCCATCTCTCGTTATTTTCAAGCACAACGAAAACTTCCGAAAGCAAAGTCGTTTTTTAAATATGATGTGGAAAGTTTGGAAATTCTCGTTAATATTAAAATTTTCTAGAGAATTTTTTTGGTAAGGCTTTGGTTATTACTGTCATATAGATATAGAGACACAGACAGGCAGAGATAAATAGACACAGACAGGCAGATAGACAGACAGACAAAAAGAAAGATACACACACACATACACACACACCTTACATATACACATCCTTCCACATACACACAACCTTACACACACACCCTTTCCCACACTTCCTTACACACACACGCTATTTCCTCTCTCTCTTTCTTTTTCTCGTTTATTCTCTCTCTTTTTCTCTTTCTTTCTCTCTCTCTTCTCTTTATCCTTACTCTCTCTCTCCCTTTCTCGTTTTCTTTCTCTCTCTCTCTCTCTTTCTCTCTCTTTCTCACTCTCTCTCGTTTTCTCTTTCTCCTCCTTCTTTCTCTTTATCCCTTACTCTCTCTCTCTCCCTCTCTTTTCCCTCCCCATCTCTCCCTCCCTCCCTCCCCACGCCCCATTTTTCCCTCCCCTCCCCCCTCCCCCCACGCCCCCATTCCCGTCCCCGAGCACCTACCGGCTTGATGTCCCTGTGGAGGAAGCCGACCTCGTGAATAGCCTCGATAGCCCTGAGGATTTGGTGTCCGAGGCGCAGCGTGGTCGAGAGGCTGAAGGCGCCCCTCGGCTGCGCCCGACGGAGCTCCGCCAGGTTCTTGGCCTGCAGCTGCATCACCACGTAGTTGAACCGCTCGTTGCGCCCGCAGCCGATGAAGCGGCAGGCGTGCTCGCGACCTGGGGGGGAGGGAGGGGGAGTTAGGGGTGTTGTCGGGTGGTGGTGGTGGTGGTGGTGTTGTTTTGGATGTTTCTAGTTGTTGTTTTTGTTGTTGTTTTGTTGTTGTTGTAGTTTGCTGTTGTTTTGTTTGTTGTAGTTTTTGTTGATGTTATTGTTGCTTTAGTTGTTATTTTTGCTGATATTGTTAGTTGTGTTCTTTGTGTTTGTGTTTGTTGTGCTCTGCGTGTGGGTGGGTGCATATTCTTTATGCAGGTTAGTGTAAATCAATATTGTTGATGTAGGATTCATCTATCATTATCATTTTCATAATGCTATCAACATTATCATTATCATTCTATTATTATCAACATTCATTCTATCATTATCAATATATCATTCTATTATTATCATCATTATCATCATTATCATTATCATTACTATCATAATCATCTTTATTATTATCATAATCATCATTATCATTATAATTACTGCTATTATTCCTATATCATTATTATTATACTATTATTATCATAATCATCCTCATCATCATTATCTATCCTTACAATACAATAACTACAACACCTAAAACATCATTATTATCATGATACCTTTTGACTACAATTTCTATTAAAATTTCCATTGTAACTACCCACATAATCATCATTAATGACCATTCTGACAATTGTTATTACTGTTAAAATTATCATGACAATTACAACTAAGCATTACAGCATTTTCACCCCCCTCCCCTTACTCTTCCCCCTCATCTCTCACTTTCCTCTCTACCCCCCCCTTCCTCATTCCATATTTATTTATCTATCTATCTACCTATCCATCTATCTATTTATCTGCCTATATATATATATATATATATATATATATAATATATATATATATATATATATATATATATATATATATATATATATATATATATATATATATATATATATAATATGTTTATATATAATATATATATATATATATATATATATATATATATATATATATATATATATATATATATATCCATTTATCTGTCGA